TGCTTCTAAAATTCGAGCGCAGGGATCCTTACGAAGAAGCTTGGCCTGTTCGCCATAAGTAAGGAGACCCCGAACGATTGTAGTCTCTAGCCGGGTCATCCAAGACCTGCCAGTCAAATCGGGACAAAGCGTCATTCAAAACATCTCCGTCGTATACTGCATGCTCTTTGCGCGATGTTTAGAGATCTTTTCTAGCTTGTGACTGAATCTCACCTTAGCGTGAAGGATTTGATGATTAGAACCACTGCAGAAAGATGATACTACACTGACATCTGGTGAGCACAACTTTCTGTTTGTTGAGATATAGTCCAGTTCAACATGAGTTGTGCCGTTTGGGGAATATCATGTTAAGCGGCGATGTTCTTCTGGAAAAAGAGTTGCTATGGAAGAAGCGAGTCGCGGACAGAAGTCAAGCCAGACGGTTTCCGTTCTCGCTATTGTCTTCATTCCAAACTTTCCAATCCAGAACTCTTCCTCTTGTGCTCCGCCAAGCGCGGCGTTGAAATCTCCAGCAACAAATTCGTAGAAGGATTTTTCTTTGTGGATGACCTCCTCAAGTTAGTACTGGATCTCATCGAGCTTTTCTTCTTCAGCTGTAGAATATGGAGAGTAGCGGTTGACGTAGAGATGGTCATCAGGTGCGTGTGTCTTAGGCATAGGATGAAGAAGCGAGGAGACAGAACCTCGTGAAACGAGATGGACGAAAGATGGGTGTATAGTTACCATATCCGTTCCCTGAGAGAATGTTCATCATTTTGTATTATATTAAACTCTTTAATCGTAGAACAAGTGTTGAAATTTTCAATCTTCCGGTGTACATATATAACAGAGGCTTTCTTGATCAAAATTACTATTATTACTGTGAGGGAATCAGAATCTATTACATGGCATTATAGCTGAAATCATCTTTATTATAAAGTTACACCATTAATTGATATTGATATTGATATTCACTTAGAAAGTGTTGCTACTTTGAGCGAGCCTCTTCGGAGAGGTGCACTCCTATTGCAACCATTTTGTGTCCTTGTAAGAAAGGCACAAATTACCTACGGCAGCCGAGAATAACAGGCTTTCGCAGTGTGCCTAATCTCATAGCATTCTATGAGAGTACAAGGTCGATGTAAAATTTTTCGCCACCCTGCTCCAAAGTCAGTGATGACAATCAGAGAAAGGTTATAGAGAGAGGTTTTGACCCAGAAGAATGATGCTTCTAGAACCTTGATTCGCAGTCTCAGGAATATTTACCATCCGCTAACTCTAAGGTCGGTTACACATTGTGAATTACCACGCAAACCGCAATTCATGATAATGTTCAGAGACACAGATGGTGTCAATACTGCAGAATATCCATCCCATATTATTAATGATATTACTGTTGTCATAATGCACGCTGGAGGGGCTTTTTTTGCCGACCGAATACAAGTGAAATATCGGCATGTTAAATCAGGGATAAAGCAACTGACAACATCATACTTCCTTGACCACTGTTTTATGTGGGAAATCTACGGGCTAGGCTGGCTTCTCATGTGCAAAATACTTTCAAAGAATGAGGAAAATTTCGTTTTTAATGTGGATAAAGCAATATTCGAAGCATTAAGCGATTAAGAGATAAAATCAGGAAATTGAAAGTGGTACTTGCTCAGATTGATGAGAGCCTCAGTTTATATGTCATCAACAGCAGAAGGTTAAGAAGCTCTCCCCATCTTCAGAGGAAGCAACCACTGCGCGTACAAGGAAAGTACCCACTACTGTCATAAGGCTGTAGAATTGTGAGCAAAACATTCAGTTTAGAGCGGAATTCCGGTCTACCCTTGTTCATTCCCGGCACCATGCTCTTATCCGGTATCGACACTGAAGTACCGCCTCATCACCTTGTTCGTATGAGTGCTGGTAAAATGTGCTTGACAGAATATCAGCAAGCCGAGGAAAGGTGTGCCTTAGCTTCTCCGTGCATTTGGGAATTTTAGTGAAACACTTTTCGACTTTTGATCAATACGATATATTGATTGTAACATTGGCGACTGCTGTTTTTAAGTGGCTTCCAAGCATGTAAAAAGAATTGCCAGTTATTGAAATCATATATTTGTATCTCTCTACTTGTAACAGCGTCATTTTATATAATCAATCTTCCTACTGAATATTTCTACCGTCCTGAGAATGCCGTACTTTCCTACTGAGGGCCAGAGCCGTCTTCCTTAGAAGATTTGTTCAAGATATATAGCGAGCAACCGCAAGCCTCATGATGAAGGATAGAATGATTATATTTTGGGGCGTTAATCAATCCCGTCTAAGGGATGCGCCCACGCATTTGAAGTCCAGTCAGAATCGTAGTGGCGGAGTGAATGTGTATGTGACCTATGACTTGCGGTGGCTAGCGGATGTTGAAGTCAGTGCTTCTATCTTCCCAGTCAAGCCTTGTACAAATTAATCGACCCTGGAGGGTGGAAGGCTTAGTTGGCCTAAGTGGATATCGAGCCTGGATTCAAACTCGGGACCATGTGAGTGTGAACGCCACTTACCCCTACAACACTTCCGCCGCTTAATTGCTAAAGAGCAGGGTCTCGAATAAAGAGCATATATATAATATTATGGTATAGCATATCCTTCAGGACGAACTACAGCCACGAAGGTAGACTTGTTTTTTGTCGCAAAAGGAAGTCGTATCCGAATATCGGGTCATTTATTCAAGAATCTGCAAGAAAGCTCGAGTCAGTTGTTGTGGGTTCATCTTTTTTGATAACGCGCCTGGCTTGCCGCATCCGATCGCAAAATTGCGCCCTGTCGAGAGGCAGATTTGTATCTCTAGTGGGGGATTTCAATCCTCTGCTTTCTGTCTTGGGGATTGGAATAGGAATACCGCCACGCCAGATAAATTGTTAGGAAGATTCGCTGTTTCAACAGAACTGAAGACCTGCAGTCCATCAGCTCAGAACGCTTCAAAAGCAATATATGATTACCACATGACGACTAATTGGAGAAATACAAGAGAAGGCGCGTCTTAGAGTGCAATATTCACCCTCGAGCTACGGATATTCTACGTATATCGTGGCAGAAAAGCAATGTGCTCGAATGTCAATCGAGGACCGGAGCCAACCAGATCTCCCCTCAAAAAGGTTCCTTACAGTTTTTTGGATGTTTGAAGAGTTTCTTGACGTAATCAAAAAGTAAACGTTACGCTTATATATACAATGGCTCGTGGCTGGGGTCGCGAAATACATTTCAAAATGAAGAAAGTTCTACTTCAACACGGAGAACGTTCCTATAGTGCACAGAGGATAGACTATATTTAGACTAAACTTCACCTACCATCATTCTTCGCCTTGCACTTTTATCAGGTCTTGCTTCAGCGAATTATTACCTACCAAATTAACTATACATTTTCTTTGAAAAGGACTAACGATTTTTACCCCCCCCCCCCCCCCTCCTTTTGGAAATAAAAACCTGGCACTTTTTTGACTCGTAATATGAGAAAGTTGCTAAGACATGAAGTAATAGGACAGCTTGAAGAAGTTTTTTCCCGCGTTCAGCAACGTCTTGCGGTCGTTGTGGATTATCTACAAGTCATTGTTCAAAACCGTTCCCAACACAGATACGAATTTTCTTTAATCAGAGTTTATTGCAGTCACTTACATTGCGGAGCATTTGAACGTGTACGACTTTTTTTTTACATTTTTCTGGAAACATGGGCTCTAGAGTTTTCGATGATATTTCTCGCTGCCAGCTTCCGCTTTTCTATCAAAGCACTATTGAAGCACTGAACAAGTTGTCCCTACCTTCCCTTAACAACAGCAATGACCTTTTCAACTACATTTACTTTGTCCTTGTACACAATACCATTCTGATCCTGGAATTAGACAAGATAACCTTCTGACAGTATTCCGCGTTGGCTGTAAATTCGTTGTGTGGCCTGAATCTCCATAAGCTGTACCTCCTTTTGAATTATCCCAGTGGATTCACCGTCTAGCCGGGTCGCAGTTCAGTAAAAAAAAATGGGTCTTTCCATCCTCTTTTAAATTCTTTCTGCATGCCTCTACCATTGTTTCGAGGAGTTGCTTTCCAAACAAGATGAAGGACCCATTTCCCAAGCCTCTGAACCTTTTGCCATTGCATGCAAGCATCTGGAGGTAGTTGCACGATTGGGGTTTAGCTCCATTCCAAGCTCTGTTTGTATTTGGGCTGATTTTCCATCCAGCAGTGCGTGTCCAGAAAGTTTTTTGACTGGCCTGGACGTTCCTTGTCTTTCTAGTCGGAATCAATACATGCGATCGTTATACTCATTCTCTGCTGTTAATTTCCTATAGAGCTTGTCTCCCATACGTATCAAAAAGCATTCGTTTGCTCAAGTCGAGAGCAACGAGATTGAGTGTAGAACTATTCTTTTTGCTCGAAATTAGGTTGCCCAACCCATTTCACAACATACGTCGAGTTTTCAACAGTAAAGCTACGTAGAAGGATGACTCAAGAAGGGAGTGCGTGCCGGATAGCTCAAGAGCTCACTTTCACATCTTCTATCTCTCCCCTATTACTTAGAATAAATCTGGCATATAGCAAATTAGAAATAACTATGAAAGCTTTTTTCCAAAGCACTGAGAGGAGAGAGCATACAAAAGCTCTGCACTTTACCTATAGAAGACTTCTTTAGTATAAGTAATCACGAACTGAGAGCCGTTTCGTCTGCTTTATTACTTTTTGAAATCGTGAATAGAAGTAGTCGTTTCAAGTAGTGCTGGTCTGCTCATCTCTTTCACAACTTTGGATTGCTCAGATGATCTAGAGTCTTCTTCAACCATCACTCTTATATTACTCTAGGAAACAAGGAAGTTTACTATGTAAAAATAGGAATATCTTCTGATCAGGATATGGTGAAGGCTCAGTGGCATTTGAACTGTTCAACACGGTTGTTTATATTTAGAGAGGTACGTTGATTGACCACAGTGGCGTCCATATCATCCAACCGTTTCCTGACAAGCACGCCCATCGAGCCAAAAGAGCTTTCCTGAATGGTAAGCGTTGAGTTATTTGCTGTCGGTAAATCTAATTATGTCATATAAATTGACAACGATATGCAACAAAACCTTGTAGAAAACGGAGTTCACGTCGTTTTCAAAAGAGAAATCCTCTCCAAAGGTACTGATTTCTGCGGTTTGGACAATACTATTACTGAAGAACAATTAATGGAAGACGACTCTGCGATTTTCGAAGACGTTTTTGTCACGGGACAACGCTTACAGCAGATGAGCGATCTCGTGGTAGCTATTTATTTAAACGGACTTGAACTCATCTTCTTCGATCACTTCTTTCCTTATCGGTCAACCGTAATCGTATTGATTGCAGGTTGAGCTAGCTGTTTTTGTTGACGAGACATTATGGAGGCACTTCAGCAGCAAGTATGGCGGTCAGGCACACACTAAACTTCAAGACTACATGCTCACATTACTAAATAACATCCAAATCATGTACTACCAACCGTCAGCATCACCGCCACTGACATTCAGAGTGATTCGATATGAAGTGCTCACAAATCAACCAGTGATTAAATAGCTGTTGATGAGAAAGGAAGACAATCGGTACATTTATAGAAATACCTTTTTAGAGTTCGATTGCCGGGAGTGCTCATAATCACGGTAATGCTCAAATGTACCTCGACCGTTTCTGCCGTTTCCAGCGCAATCTTGGCACTCGCGACTGGGATCATGCCATTATGCTGACAGGGTACGTTCTATACTTATGATGCCCGTCGTTCCACCTTGAGTGTGCGAAAGTTTGTACGATTGAGGTGGCTCTGCACTTTGAAGAAAACTGTGTTCAAAAATTGAGAATTTTCTTCACTATTATTTGGAGATTTATTCTTTCCCGCAGGTTAAATGTGAAATGTGGGGCAAAGCGGAATATTGTTCATCTGTGCATGATTACAGAGCTTATGTTCGCGAACTAATGAGTGAATTTGTTTATTTTGCACCAATAAATAATAGAATTCCGTACCGTGATGTTAAACTTTTTCCTATATTTGTTCCGATTTTCTATGTAGGTCTGAGTTTATAGCTTCTGTTGCTCTCTTCATTTGACAAACTTTTCACTTGATGGCATGTGCGGGCATCATATAACCATGAACTTTTCACATCAATTTAAGGATTACATTTTCAATATATACTGCAAAAAGTTCATTATGAATTGTTGCAGTCAGTTCCATGTACATAATTAATTCTACCTTGCTTGAGCGTCCTTTCAGAATTTTGTATTGATACTTTGGAGACATTTTTCGTACGAAACTGCACTGAAAGAGCTTGCGCATTGTTCGGATGTTCATTTCTGTTGGTAAAAAACCCTTGCCTTCTCGATCTACTGCTCTTGTTTCACAGAACGTTTAGGACTCAAGCCCATGTTTCGTGGTATCTGGATTTGGAGTCGTTTAATTCCGGTTTTTATTGAACAAATAGAGGAAAAGTTCTGGACTTTTACCGATTGGAAGATGACTGAGTGCCGCCACAGGAAGCTATTGCTGATGAAGGTGACCTGAAAGGGCCTGTTGGCACTGGGGATGGTGGTTCGGATTTGGGCCACATGATGCCGATTTAAAGCGAACCCTCGAACACGCTGACTCGCGTGTCCTCACCATCATCAACAAAAAGATTGAAAAGAAGAAAAAGAAAAAGATTGACAAAAGAAAAGTGGCTCTTGTCTCTAACCTTCCACAGCGACAGAACCAGAACACAAATAATCTTTGTACTCGTTAGGCAATGCGATCAAAGGCTCGTGACTTTTGCGGAGGCTGTGCCATATAAGACGGTCGGCACGCACATCGGCCACTGATTTGCACGCCTAAAATCGCGCCAACAAAACAGAAACATGTTGAGAGGAGTGAGCCTCAGGAATCGTGTAGTGGCGATTAAAAGAAGAGGAGGAGGCTATATCTCTCAGACCCAGCTTTCCTCTCTCACGACTTTCGAGGAAACTTGAGAAGGTGCTGCCGACGTTATAACTCGACTGCCCGCTCTGAGCTGAATGAGGTAAAGTTTGGTAGGAGGAATATTGATAGGCAAGCATGCTTGCAGACGGATAGCGCCAGAGAAAAGGTACGCGAGAAGGAGGGGCTTTACCATGAAAAAACTCATTTACACAACGACTAATGCCGTGCAGGACTATCGTGAAGCATTGAGAGCGGCAAGGAAAGCCGCAGCTTTTTCAAAAGCCACTCACTATACAGAATGCGCCAAAATAAATATGGTAATGAATTTTCAACAGAATATTTCTTATACAGGAACTGCAATGCATACTGATACATAGTGTTTTTGTCGCATCAGCAAAATGAACGCACAGTAACTGGATATACCGTCTCCTGTACTAGTTATGACTCGAAGACGCTTCAGCTACTCACCGACGGCAGCACGCAGAATTTCTTGGGAGACCCGATCCTTTGCTTTTCCACCAATTTCTAAGAAGCAAGAGCAATGGTCTTTTTTTGATTCGCATTTTTCCCTCTACAGTGAAATAACACGCCACAGATTCATTGGATCGAGGGCTGGAAAATTTGTATGTCAATAGGAAGCAGTGATGACATTGCGAATATCTCCTCAGCACGAGTCTGTTTTTTTCCTCGTGAGCAAGTCCGCGGATCTTTCCGAGCCGTATCCCTGAAATGATCTTTGACCTTAGATGCACCTCCTCAGAAGTGTCCTCATGAAGGCGTTCAACCATTACACTTTTCTCGACAACAAATATGCAATACCTCTCTGCTGGCGCAGATTCCGACGCAAACTATCATTAATTTAGAGTAAAATAAAGTTTTTGCTTTAATTAATCCCATAGCTCCCGCACTCGACTTCCATTCAGAGTCGTCAAGGCGTAATGAGTGTATGTATCCTACACAATGACTTGCTGTGGCCAGCCGATGTACAAGTCAGTGCTTTTATCCTCCCAGACGAGTCCGGTACCAATAAACCGATCTCGGAGGGATGGGAGGCTTGGTTGGCCTAGGCGGGCATCGATCCGGGGCTCGAAACCCTGGTCATGCGTGTGAGATAGTGTGCCACTTGCCACTACGCCACCTCCACCCTGCAAACAATCATAAAAAAGGGAAATGACTGCGAAAAAAATCTGATCCTTCTCAACTTCCTCGCTACTTGTAGTGAGAACTATACTATAGTATAGTATATGACTATGTACTATGTATATAGTATATGTACTTTGAAATCTGAACGCTCCTTTTACGCTGAACACCTTTTCGTAAAAAAATTGTGCCAAATTGCGTGCCGCGTGCGACTAGGACATGGCATTTATTCTTTTTCTCAAACTTGTCAAAAATTTATAAGGCTTCTGTAACCTATTGAGTACAATTACATTCGCTATGAAGAGACTATCGTCATTGAAGTAGAACGTGCATTCAATTCGGTAGTCATTTTCCTCGTGTTGTGTTTCTGCTGCTTTGGCAGCGTAATCATTTCCAAGCACTTTTGTCCAGACAAGACGACCGTCCTGAGGTTAACCGTTGACTTGTTCTTTCATCGCGATACAAGAGACTGTCATGCGAGAAATGTTGAAACGGGAGAGATTCTGGAAATGACTCATCGAACGAGCGCATGGACGGAACGGCTGCGGGATGATTGCGAGGCTTCACAGTTTTTTGAACAGCGGCAAATCAAAAGCATCAAAGTAGCTAAGGTTTATGATAAACTTGAGAGAGATGCAGATACAAGTTACCCCTCCAAACAAGAAATTGCGGATCTCCGTATAGTTACCATATTTGTAGCTCACCCTGTGCTGATACAGCGAAAAAATTGAAAGGAGCGCCGGTGTAGGATATATCACAACTTGCCAAATGCCGTTATCGCCTGACCGAGGATATTGAGACATTTTTGACACCTGAATGATGAAAACGGCGACCTTCTGACGCACCGCAGGTGAGCTATAACACCATAGCAGTACTACTTTTAGAGTGTTTCACAATAGAATTTGCCCATCCGCCCATACCTTGCCTGCTGTCAGTTCACGGTCCTATACAATTGACAGTGGTAGAACGGAAATAGTTCTGAAGAAGATGACGTCCTGGAGGCAAGTGGTCTCGACGACTTGGCAGCTGATGTTGAAAATCGCGTTCAGGAATCCGGTAGCATATTAGAGTTTTTCAATCAATGGTAATACACCAATTCCAAGGCGCAAAAAAAGCGACTGAGAGCATCCGTATTCGAGATCCTCTAGGAGTCGATGTGGCTTTGTCATCGGTTGTTGCACCCCCGATGCAATATAAACTGCTGTCACTTGCTAGAAAAAAGTCGCGAGAAACTAGAAGCACTGCGTCCTGCTTTTATAAGCCTAGGAAAGGCCCTTCAATTACGTTCCGTGTGAAATTATATAATGAAACTTACGACAGTATGGGGTTCTTGTGTAACTTATTCAGAAGGAGCGCACCGCACCTCTGCTTGAATCCAAAAAGTAGAGCAGTTAATACTCCTTTGTAATTTCTAATTCCTATCGAGTCGCGAGTCGGTGTCAATCAAGGTACACCAAGCCTCTGCTCTTTTCTCACTACTGATCATAGTCGTCATGAATGCTATTACACGAGATCTTCGGAGTCAGCGTATTTAACATTTCTTCACTCCAACGACGTAATATGCGCGTGTTAAGACAACAATGAACTCGAGCGACAGATACAAGCTCTACTTGACCGTGTCGTGATGTTGTGACATCGACTGAATACCAAAAACACGAGTAGACCACAGAGTCAAGTGAGGTAGGTGATATCAAATGGGGCTTACGATGGGCAACACTGGGCTTACGCTAACACATGTCGTCGAGTATCTACGATCAGAAATCGCGTCTGACGGTAATCTGGCCACTTGACTTGCGTATGAGCGCGTCTTGGTCTAGAGTCGCTGAATGGCAGGCGCTATCTGCGATAGAATACCAGATTGACCCGATTCATAGATTTGAAAAACGTCTTACGACCAGCCGCGGCTTACGGTGCGAAATGCTGGCTTGGGATAAAAGGAATAGAAGCACGCCTCGGAGCATTGGAAAGGAAAATGCTACGATGGACGACCGCGGTCAAGCGTTGGACCATATTCGCAACGATGCAATAAGGGAGCGTTACGAATTAGCCTCTATCGATGACGATATGCTCGAATCTCGCCTCAGATGGTGCGGAGATGGATATGTTCTTACGCACTGGCCAAGACAATGTAGGATCGGACTCAGCTCCGACAAACCCAAAAAACAGCCTTAGGGGTGTCCCAGAACACTTCCCTGACCCCTTGCATGAGCGCTAAGAATCAGTTGGCCTTTATCCCTATCCAGCATTCAATTGGGAGAAGTGGCGTCAGTACACAAAAAACTAGAGCCCGTTTTCAAGCGGAGCAAACGCTGAAAAGGAAGAACAATTACCAGTGTAGTGTGTAATTTTTCAAGTTTTCTCTGAGCATATGTTGATCTATCTGGAAATCCGTGGATGTCCCCTTCTCAGAGTTGGAGCGTTCTAGATTTCTGGTAACAGGTGGAAAATGATAGGACTTATACTGCAGAGTTATCGATCAATGTTGACCAATCGATGCCGACTAATAAGTAATTCTTGTGCCTCTGACCGTGTACTCATAGCTTACCTATTTTGAGGAAACAAAATTAAATCATTGGGTTATGAAGGAAACAGGATTACATTTTTCTTTCAGCGAAGTTGTTTGATAATCGATCAGTCGACACTATTCATCGCTACCATTTGAGAACAAGATGAAACATATATACAGGGTTAGCTGGTGGATGTCCACAACTCCATTGTTTGGTCACTTCATTGCTCAAAACGTCACTTAGCTGTTACTAAAGCAAAGTTTTCCAGAGATTGCCCGTTCGACTCCCATAGTCAGATCCTGATCGTTTTACTCGCTGAGGAATTTTTTTCTCGTGAATTTTTTTTTCGGTTAGAGAGAACCATGAAGAGTTACGTGTCTCCAGTCAAGTGAGTTAGCAACTTCCCGCATTATTTGCCCTGCACTGTCTGTTGTGATCAGAAATGGAGCGGCATACTTGCAACATGACCGACAATGAAGGCTATAAGTCGTGCTCCTTTGCCGCCGTTTTGATGGGTCACTTAGAATCACGCTCGACTCGAAAACGTATCATTTTAATAGTGCTATCTTAAGAATCCTTGACCTTCCTATCCCTTCCTTGTTTGTCTTTATTTGAATTTTCTTTTCTACACCGTTCAATAGCCTTCTGTACGGATATTATAGGAATCACAAGAAATTTCATAATGCCCACCCGCCTCTCGCATGCCACTGACTGCAAGTTGCATTGAATGAGCCTCCGCCATCTAAGAGATATTGGGAGTTTCACTACAGTAACCATGCACATTGCAAGAAAACCTACTTATGCGATTAATTTATAGCGGTTGAAATGAATTACTTTACTGAATTACTTCTACCTTGTAAGTTTCTGAACGTCGGCGCCCATAGCACCCTCTACATTTTTATTTTTGTACAGCACCGCTCAGAAGTCTTCGAAGCCAAACACTATATCGTTCGTGTTTCCTTTCTTAATGGATCTAATCGCACGAAATTTTGATATATATATATTCATATATAACCACACATATTTCTCACTATTCAACACTATTTGACTGCAAAGCAGCAATATTCACATAACTAGGAGCAATACTTGTTGTGGTAGTAGACTCCGCCGAAAGCAAGGTTGGCAACGTCTGCAATTATTCGCACCTTATTTGCCTTTTTCCCCCCTTCGCTGTGTTCGGCACAGCGCTCGAACACCTCAGACGTGGCAAAAAGGGAAGAGCTCCCAGTAGAACCAATCTCCATATATCCAGTTGATTTTGAGTCGAAGCAGTATGGGATATGCTGAACCGATCAGATTGTAGAATAATAGCGGTCAATGTCAACAATACTCCCATGCTATACATATTGAAATTTGGCATGATTAGATCCAGTAGAAAAGGGGTTACGAATGATAAGTACGACGTCAAAGGCATTTGCCAAAAGATGCGAGCGCTACTATATAACATATATGTATGTATACGTACATATACAGTAGCGCTCAAAAGTCTTCGGTGAAACGCTTTGACGCTCTTTCTTTCATAACTTTTTTGTTAGTGGACCAAATGGCGCGAAATTTGGATATGTTTAACTAGAGCATATTTCACCTTACCCAACACTATTTGACTGCAAAGCTGTAACATTCACAGATAGAGCAAGGTGTTTGTTGCGGTAGCAGACTTTGCTAAAAGTAAAGTTGTTGACGTCTGCACTCATTCGCACCTTATGTGCGTTATTCTCATCTATTCTATTCGCCGTTACCGCTCGTACACTTCGGACATGACAAAAATGAAAGAGATTCTAGAAGGACCATCATCTGTATTTTCAGTCGATTTTATTTTCATGCCCTTTGTAACGTCTGGAACATGATCAGGTGGCAGGTTAATAGTGGTAAATATTCACAATAAACCCACTCTCCTAACATAGAAATTTCGCATTATTAGATCCAGTAGGAAAGGGTTACGTATGAAAAGCACGGCTGAAGAACCATTTCACCGAAGACTTGAGCACTACTGTATATATACATATATACAGGGCGCGCCATAAATATGGTTAAAACTTCGGACGTCCGCAATTCCCTTGTTGGGTATGTTTCTTCAAATCTTCACCTTCTTTTATGTTCATGATATACCTTAGCCCACATATCTTCTTTGGTGCTTTCAAATCGTCGAATTCGAAAAACGGTATAGCCTCGCTGATTTCCACCAATCGTTCCGTCTGTGGGCGCATTTGGTGAATCCTTTTCCGGGATCGCTCCTCATTTCAACATTTCCACATGACAATCCCATGAATCGCGATGCGTAGACAGGTCAACGACAAACCTCAAAACTGTCATCTTGTCTCAAATACGACCTCCTGTCCGGATAGAGCTGCTTTGGAAGGAGTACACTGCGGAACCTGCAGAAACGCGAGAAAAATGGCTGCTGACTGGCTTGTATGTTCTACTCCGATGAGAAGAGTGTAACCCGAGTACGTACGGTTGTATACAGATAGAATTCGGATCCCTTTTAGGCTTTTTGACGAAAAAAAGTCGAAGAGAAAATAAAAATGCCGTGCGCTACATGCGTGCGGCACGTGCTTCGACACACTTTTTCCTGACTAAAGGGTGTTCAGCATGGAACAAATGTTGAGATCCCAGGCTATACTTATATGTCTACACTACGAGGGCTGAAGCTGCTGAGGAGAGTCAGATCTCCTCTTGTAGTCACTTTTCCTCCTTTATGATGGTTTAGGCTAGAATCTATACCATCACAGCGATATTGCAAATTTTGGTAGAAAAGTACAAAACTTATTACGAATTATTTTAGAAAGGGTTCTCTGAAAGGAGGGTCTACGAAAGCCTCGAAACGCACAATTGTTGCTGAGCCCAAAAAATTAACGAAAAAAGCTTGGGCTGCAGTCCCTCAAGTAACTCTGCGTGTCACCGTGATGAGTAGCCGAAGCGTCTTCGAGCTATGATTAGTATAGGAGACTTCTATATAAGATGACCGTGTGTTTGTTTTGTAGATGCAATGCATAGTAAATAACTCACGAGAATTGATCATGCATAAATATAAACTGCGGTTTCTGGGGGCCAATTTTTTGTTGCCACGTTTATGGCGCACCCTGTATATATAATTATTCTTCTTCTCTCTGGCCTTAGCCCGCAATGTCCACTATTCTTGTCAGCCGTCTCCGTTTCCACTAGAGTTCTTCACTGCTTACCGCTCTCAGAGACATGTCATCAGCTTAGACGATGCTCCTCGCTGGTTCAACCGTGATTCTTTTGTGAGATTTCCGTTGTAAGCAGGAAGAGGAGCGGGCTCAGAGCTGTTCCTCGTTGTACCCCAACCGTGACGGATACTGTTTTTTAGGTCGTAAGGGGAGCGTATAACAATCTCCGATCTATCTTACATTTCACTGACGGAGAAGTGAGGTGCTAAAGAGCAGTTCATTCATGGAACGCTTTTCAATGTGGCATAGTCGATCAAAAAATTTTTCCACATCGAGAACAATTGTTGGCAGGACCCTCGCCTTTTTCAACACTTCTCCATCACTTTCTGGCCAAAAAGGCGGCATCGTTGTGAACCTTTTCTGCACAAAGCTGAACTTGTTCGTGCCGACCTTCAGGAGGGAATAATTCTCTCGACCTCGGGTCAGTCGACTAATGGCTCATACAACCCCTCAGTATGTGCAGCGAATTGTACGAGTGGTCTACGTACGCCTCTATCAATATTCCTCTTCACTATTGCTCGTCGTACCTCATCCCCTGTTCAGAGTGTATTAGGGCTAGCCGTTAGCTCTACCTGAAATCTGTTTTCACGATGTAATCATTATTTGTTAAAATCCCTGTCGAAGTGGTCTTTCCGCCTACGTTTGGGATTTTTGGGATAATCAGCTTCCCACGGTATTGCACCGTTGCTAACTTTTACGAGCCTCACTGCTCCGACGTCTTGACTAGGCTGATGCCGTGTTTTAGCCAGATGGGAGACGATTTCTCTCTTTGCTAACCATCGAGCCTCTCGTCCTTCCGTATTCCTTTCCCTAGCCTCGACGAGCTCTTGCAACATCTGTAAGCAGCTAGGTCCTCTGAAGTTCGTGTCTTTTGTTAGCGCTTGCAGGCGCTTTCCTTTGCCCCTCACTTTGTTGGACATCAGCTTCCTGCACACACTTTCACAGTGTTGCTACAGGTCTGCTGGATCAATCCTACCGGATCTGGGAGGCCAGATTTTGAAATTATCCTCGGAAGTCTCCTTTTACGGCTCGATGCAGCTTCCACCACCCGATCCTCGGCTTTTGTCCTGGAACTCTTGGGAAGCTCGTAGGCTGTGTCTGCCAGGAAAGTTCTGCTGCGGAGTCAGATATCCGCCTCTCATTACTTTAAAGTCCCTGACAGTTTTGAGCGATGACATTCTCACGAACACATGAACTACTTCCGTTTCGATTGTTGCCCTCCACTGCTCTTGGTGATTTTCTGGGTTAGCCTTTTAGCGAAGGGTGTTCTGCAGACTCCTACGTTGAGGACTGTGGCGTGACTCCTATTCCTCCATCGCTCCCCTCCCTCGCCGTAAATTTCCTATGCCCTTCGTTCACTGCCAACGTACCCACCATTCAGATCGGATCACTTGCTATGTTAAGATAGTTTCGCAATTGATCTGATGGAATCGTCAAGGCTCAGTTAAGGCAACTTTTTTGGACTCAAAATAACCGGCTTATGGTGCGTAGGATATAGATAATATTGTCGTCTACCTCTCTCCTGCGTCTATCCTCACAGCCGTGATTCGAGCGCCAACCCTCCTGACAGCAGATGCTGGGTTTTCGAAGGCTTTTATATAAACACCATTTCGTTTGGTGTCTCCACCGCTATGATAAAGCTTAACACACTCTTCAGCTCTGGCCTTTGTACCTTCCCAGCATGCTTCTCAAAGGCACAGGACTTGGATGTTTATGTGCCTCACTGGGTCAGCAACCTTCCAGAACTTCTCAGAAACGATCTCTCGTTTGGAATCCCAATTCAGACTGAGTTTTTCGGCTGGATTGGCTCTTTGCTGGCTCTTGTATACTGTCCGCAGGACTCGGCCGAGGGTCCTGTGGGCCACTTCCGCGTGGCAGTCTAGCTTGAGGTCTGGTTGCTTTTGAGACTGTAGATATATTTGTTCCAACCGGGTTTCTTCATCAGCCAGCCTGTCAACGTGACCCTGAAGCTGGCAACGACATTATTTTTGCATTTTGCTTGCAAATCATGGATTGCCCTTGCACAAGTCAAACTTGCACCCGTTCTAAGGCATAAGCATACGCTTCTGAATCCTTTTATATCTACTCTATATACTTATATATCTACATACATATATACCTATACACATATATACAGGCTGTCTCAAAATTATGGGCGCCAAGATTCAGAAACTTTTGAGTTAGAAGTAATTTATTGAGTTCACTTCACCCGCTGTCATTTATTGGCGTAAAAAGGCTCTTCTGTAGAATACATGGTTACTGAAGTGAAACTCCCAATATATTTCAGATGGAGGAGGCTCATGCAATGCCCCTTGCAATCATTGGCGTGCGAGAGATGGAAGGGCATCATGAAATTCTCGGTGATTTTTATAATATATATACAGATAGGAGGCTATTGAACGATATAGAGGAGAAGATTCAACCGGAGACAAACCAGGAAGAGCCAGAAAGGCTGATGTTTTTGAAAATAGGACTATTAAAATGGCCCGTCTGCGAATCGATCGTGAGCTTGTATAACAGATTAGAAAGAAATCAACGGGCGCGACTTGTCGTAGTTGTCGAGATGTCAGAATGTCAAACACGCTTCATTGCCATTCTTATCGTGAGAAGAAATCTCACTCCATTTCCGGCCTCAACAGACAGTGTAGGGTGGAAAAGTGCAGAATGTTGTTGACTCGCTTAAGTTGAGACACGCATCCGTGCATCGTTTTTTCTAGCTCAAAAAAATGTTCAAAAAAACAATCCTCTACAGATACAACGTTAACGTTCTGGCTATAAACATCGAACGTGCAATTACTCACGAAAAAAAGTGCTGATATTTATTGAGGGAGTCACTAGCAAGGGTAAGATGCTCGTGGTTTCGTCGCTTCCCGCGTGAAGATTTAGAGAAAACGCATACTGAATGACGTAATGAGGGACTAATCTATCTCCGCTCCCTGAGACGGCTAGAAGTCCTTGCAGCAGGACGGTACTCCGGCTCACAGAGTCGAGCTCAATGGGAGTGGTGCCGACACTAGCTGCCCGACTTCATCAGCAAAGAATAATGACCATTCTGCTTCTCAGATTTCAACCCACTTCACTCCTCCGTATGGTCCTTGGTGAGAAGAGGAGAAGAGGAGAGGGGTAGAGTTTACAGCCCTAGTTTAGAGTTTTAGGAAGCAGAACTCAAGAACGGCCGAAAGGAAATGGAAGAGGACGCTTGCGTGCAACATGCGAGGAGATCGAGTGTCATTCTCAGCTGAGAAGCTTTAAATCCATTTACGTTTGATCCACTCACAGAATCTTTCGTAAGGCTACTTGGAAAGGTTTCGTTATATTAAGATTGTAGTAGACCGTCCCCGAACCTGTCTTTTAGGAAGATACATAAGCATGCCCTTGTGTTTTGCGATTATGACTACAACCTGACTCTGGAGATATCCCCTTTCACGAAATCCTGTGAGGGCGTACGTCGACTGTATACCATATATCTGTAGTGCACGCACAACGTTTTTGGTAGACTCATTTTGCAGTTCAAATTTCCAAATTTGTTAATAACCTTCCAACCCTATCGATGTACTTGGGTCGCTACTTAGAGATGAAACCCTTTCCTGGTAAGCAGCTAGCGAAACGTTGGCTCAATTTGATACAAAGCGGATCATTTTTTCATGGCCATCACTATAATGTTTGTGTATTGTAATGTGATACACTTCCAGGAATAACAACCGAGGTGTTGCAGGACCCATGAGCCAACCTGATAACTGTTGGCCATTGTCTTGCTCGCACGGCCAGTAAAAACCCCATTTGTCCTCGCTGCGAGCCACCGCACTCAGTTGGGCTATACTGCATAGTCTGACCATTGCTCTGGCGGCAGTTCTGGTGTCTTTTTGATTGGAGGATCCGATCTGCAACCCCGTCTATCCAACGGTCAAAACAAACCTGTCCCGCCTCAATGGTTTTTGGAGTCTGCGACACTGACCCTAAGCTTCGTTGACGTTCACCGACTTCGGGAATGCGTACTCTCTTCTGAATTAAGCTTGTGAGAAGTGCTTCAAGTGACGCTAATTGCACACTCATTCTGTCTGAACAATGTTGAATCGTCCGCGGTTCATATGTGGAGGGATAGAAAGCAGCAAAAAAGTTTAAAATTTGGCTTTGAAGTCGCGTGCTGTTCGCCTACTCTACATATTCCTCCAGTCCAAATGAATTTTGCTTTGAATTTTGTGGAAATCTTCGTACTGTAAGCGGCTTGAGGCGGTCTTTGAAAACTGATTGTATCCCTGCTGTGCAGGCAGGTGTTCTGATCCGGTCCACTATAATTGTTTCAGTTATAGTGATTGCACCTATGAACCGAACAGTGATCAAACAAAATTCAATGTTTGACCTAGTATGCTACCCCAAGTGTTTAATTGAAGTGGTGACAGTTGATATCCTTCCTGCTCAGGATTGCATCTAATTTGCTCACCATGTTCGATTCCTTGTCCAGTTAGCATAACTGGAGTTGGTGCTTTGTTAGGTCGATGTCATGACTGTTTTCCGTCATCGTACTGTTTACCACGGAAATACGCTGCGTTTACGAATAACTGAAATAAATTCAGGCGAATTCACTTTCTCAAACGCAAAAGGGTTATTTGAAATCTGTTGGTTTCTTACAAATTCTTCATTAGGTTTAACTGCGGGTCGATTTTTTACAAAGCTGTAGGTTTCAGTCAGGATTCGTTCCTCCTGCTTTATTTTCCTGTAGTAAACACGATGTTGTCTTCAATTCTAACTGGCGCATAGAATTTCCGATTGTGACAACCAAAGTTTTTCCAAGGTAGTCTTGCCTTGTCGGTACCCTCTCCGAAAATTAACGACAACTTCCTCGTAGAGTACTGAAATTTAAATAATGAAGCTCAACACTTCAAAATTCGTTTAAAGGTCAGAGAGCACCCCAAACTTTTTGTACCGATTTGTACGTAGTTGCCAAGAGCTCGGATAACGCCTAGGGCCCTACCCCATCAGTTTCAGAAGCTTGTTTTGAATAGATGAACTTAAGACATTAGCAGCATCTTATGCTCTCAGATACATAATTGACTCTTTCACTGTCTGGAATGTACTAGAACTCTCCGCAACCCTGGCTGTGCCCATGGCTTTTCTTCAACCAGAATTCTGTCACTCTCTCAAGAATGACTTTTGTGAAGAGTTCATGGCTAATAGACACTGGGCTGATTCTGCGGAATTTAGCAACATCTTCTGTTCACAACACAACAACAGCACAGTCTCATGATATTATTTTCACGAAGTGGACCTTCATGCCAGCATGTGACAAGCAGTTTTGACGAATGGACACGGTGTTCTGGCTTTATCGTGTCGGAACCTAGCACTGTACAGAGAGTGCTTCATTGACGAAATAGCAGTGACTTTTAGGAAGAGTGAAATGGCAGAGTAGCATTCTCAGCAGCTGCATCTATTCATTCTCATATAAAGGGCAAACAGTANGTAAGACGCTGCTGATGGAAAATCGAAGCCAAACTCAGATAACCCCCATTGTTTTTCGAAACCAGGAGCAAGTGAAATTGGATTTTTAAATTGACTGAGCCAAAAGGACTTGTACTAGCAGTGCTGCTATCCCCTTCTATATCTTTAATTATCGTTTCTCTTCGTAGCTCCATGACTCGGACGTTGGATCGCACTTATGTACAACTGTTGCGATTATATGATGATGTATCTCACCTCAGCTCAGCACCCAGAGAAAGAGGAACCTTTCATTAGTCGTAAATTATCTGTCTTCCTTGCACTGCTGAGATATTCAACATGTCAGTGATCGTCGTCGATGTTTCGATGACAGAATCTTCATATGAAACTCTTGTTGAAGCAA